GGTATATAAGCAGCAAGCATTTTGATTTTCACTTTCGCTGTCTTGTACTTCTCTAAACCATCAAGCACCATTGCCAGAAAGAAAGACAAGAGAAAAGGTTGCATCAACAAGGCACACTACCCCCTAAGACGACCCCATCTTGGTAGCCCCCTGACTTCTCTTCAGAATTTTTTTTTATTTTATTTTTTTTGGTGGTGGGGAGACATGAATTCTCAGGACTCTTACAAAAAGGCTGAACAGGCAGATTATAACGTAGGTTGTAGGAAATGACTCACAAGCCTAAAAGCTGCACCCTTCTTTTCATCTCTGAATATATGAGATCAATTGGAGCAGATCAAAGGCCTCTCTCTCTTTCTCTGCCAGCGTGGGGGTGCCATTCCCAAAGTTGCTAAACTGTTGGCTTAATCTACAGTAGAGGGCAAACCCTCCTGGATGACATCGCAGCTGCTTCTGAGGGGCATTGCTGCCCACCCTTTCTCATAGATGATAGAGAGCTTGCATAGAGCCTTTCCTTAGGCCAATTATAATGGCATGATGTAAACATTGTCCTATCTGAACTCTGTAACCTATCTGTATACTGTCCATTATCTGTGAGCTTGTAAGGTTAATAAAAGCACAGTCCTCCTGGGGGCAGGGAAGAATGCATTGGGAACCCTCTTCTACTAATCGCCCACCAAGAGGACTGCTGGCAGATATCCCTGTGTGCGGCTGACTTCTTTAACTTCTATCTCTAAGAGACTATTTGCTATCCTAATTATCTGGTGATCACCACAAAGCCCATCGGCCTGCTCATTTCGTGACTACAACACCTGCACAAGTCATTTGTATGGCTTGTGGGAACTCCATGGAGCCAGTGGCCTTCTCCCATAGCTGTTGGCCAGGGACTAGCACCGAGAGACAAAAGCTAGGAAAATCTACAGTTCTGGCCGACAACTTTACAAATCCTGACTGTTGTCATACCAAAGAGCAATTCTCTCAAGATCTGTCAGAGATAGGTTGCCTCGTATTTTGGAAGCAGTGTATAGTCAGCGAGCTTTAAGGCCCCCTAATACGCTGGTGGGCCAGGAGTGGCCTGATGCTTGGGAGGAGCAGCAGATAATCAGCTTTTTAGACTGACAGAACTGACCGTCCGCTGAAGTGTTGTGGAGAAGGACTTTTTTTTAAGTAATCCATTCATATAGGAACTTAATATCGGCAGGAAACAGATGGGACAGAAGGAAGGCATGAGGCCTAGTATGGCTGCCCAGCCCTTACAGCTATTTGCACTGTTTTGTTGGTTGGTTACATTCCCTTCTTGAAAGGCAACCAGTCTGGGGAAGCTAAAAACAGCAGGCATCGTGAAGAAGGAGCTGCTGTCTTCTCACGTGCAGGGAGGTATGAAGGATTGTTCAATTAGTCAGTCAGGATAGAGGCCTTAGCTGCTTTTAACTGACAAGTAATAAAACAAATTAGAATCCTAGAATAATGGGAGTTGGAAGGGGCCCATAAGGCCATGGAGTCCAACCCCCTGCTCAGTGCAAGAATCCAAAACAATGCAGATCTGACAGAGGGTTGTGTAATTTTCTCTTGAATGACACCAGTACTGGAGCAATCGCCGCCTCCCGGGTAACTGGTTCCATTGTCGTACTGCTCTAACAGTTAAGAAGTTTTTCGGGATATTTAGTTTCAATCTGGCTTCTTGTAACTTGAGCGCATTGTTGTATGTCCTGCACTCTGGGACGATGGAGAACAGATCCTGTCCTTCTTCTGCACGACTACCTTTCAAATATTTGAAAAGCAATGGAAATTTTAAACTGTTCACCCATAGGACTGGGCTTTAAAGGTGCATTTAACTGCCCAGAAATCTATCTGCCTACATCAGTACAAATGCTGTTGTCTGCTCCAAGAACCTGCTTTTTCCCCACCCCTGGAAAGAGGTCTTCCTCCCCCTCCTCCCAAAAGCTTGCCTGGACTCCCAAGGCATGATGACGCCATCATCCGGACCTCCAATCAGAACCATCTTGCGGATGCGCAGAAAGTTTTTCTTCCAGGCTGTAGTGAGAGACAAACAGAGCAAGGGCTATTGATAGCCATCTGAGCACTGAGTTTCCTGCCTCCCTCTTCTGATCACAAGACCACAAAAGATCCTCTCCCAGCCAAAGGTCTCCAACAGGCGTGGAGAATGGCAGGATGGTCCACATCAACTTGGGCTTTTGGTGGAGGCCAAAGCAGCCAAAACAGAATACAGTGGTGCCTCGCATTATGATGTTAATTCGTTCCAGCGAAATCGCTGTAGAACAAAAACATCGTGAAGCGATTTAAAAAAGCCCATAGAAATGCATTAAAACCCGATTAATGCGTTCCTATGGGCTTGAAACTCTCCGTCCAGCGAAGATCCTCCATAGTGCGGCCATTTTCACTGCCCGTGCAGTGAGGAATCCGTCCCAGAAAACAGCGGGTGGCCATTTTTTTT